GCAAAGCACCTGGGGTGCTGCTGGGCGCCGTGCAGGGGTGAGGGGCGGCGCTGCGGGACCAACCCGGCAACACCCCAGCTGCTCTGCCCCGCCGCTTCCCCAAGTTGCCGCTGCCGTTTGCAGCCCCAGCTGGCCTGTTGCTGGCGTCTGCGCGGGGCTTCCCCCGCCTCCCTGCATAACGGCGGAGGGTTTGCCCCATGCTGCGCCATTCCCCACCGATTCCCCTCCCCTCCCCCGACCTGTCACAGCTCCCCTTCCGGAGTATCTCCTGATATTCCGGCATATCCGATAATCCGGCACCCCCTGGATCCCAAAGGTGCCAGATTATCGGAAGTTTACTGTAGTATACTTTGATATTCAAAAATTCTTTTATCCAAGGTTCCCCTCAAAGGTTCTCATGCAAACTGAGCAGTTATGTGAAGGTATGTTCTCTCATGGCTTAGTAACTGGTAAAAATATAAGAAACAAAGGGTAGGAATAAACGGACAGTTCAAAATTATTCACAATAGTTAACTCCAAAAGTGCAAAGAGTTCTACAGATACCTTGCTAAAATAGGTGACAAAATAGCTGATGAAATTCAGCGTTAATAAATGCAAGGTAAGTAAATAATCTCTACTATACAGGCAGTCCCTGGGTTACGTACAAGATAGGGACTGTAGGTTTGTTCTTAAGTTGAATCTGTATGTAAGCTAGAACTGGTGTCCAGATTCAGCGGCTGAATCTGGATGCCAGTTCCGACTTACATACAGATTCAACTTAAGAACAAACCTACAGTCCCTATCTTGTACGTAACCCAGGGACTGCCTGTATAGTAGAGATTATTTACTTACCTTGCATTTATTAACGCTGAATTTCATCAGCTATTTTGTCACCTATTTTAGCAAGGTATCTGTAGAACTCTTTGCACTTTTGGAGTTAACTATTGTGAATAATTTTGAACTGTCCGTTTATTCCTACCCTTTGTTTCTTATATTTTTACCAGTTACTAAGCCATGAGAGAACATACCTTCACATAACTGCTCAGTTTGCATGAGAACCTTTGAGGGGAACCTTGGATAAAAGAATTTTTGAATATCAAAGTATACTACAGTAAACTTCCGATAATCTGGCACCTTTGGGATCCAGGGGGTGCCGGATTATCGGATATGCCGGAATATCAGGAGATACTCCGGAAGGGGAGCTGTGACAGGTCGGGGGAGGGGAGGGGAATCGGTGGGGAATGGCGCAGCATGGGGCAAACCCTCCGCCGTTATGCAGGGAGGCGGGGGAAGCCCCGCGCAGACGCCAGCAACAGGCCAGCTGGGGCTGCAAACGGCAGCGGCAACTTGGGGAAGCGGCGGGGCAGAGCAGCTGGGGTGTTGCCGGGTTGGTCCCGCAGCGCCGCCCCTCACCCCTGCACGGCGCCCAGCAGCACCCCAGGTGCTTTGC